TGCTTTGGTGAATAATTTTTTCCCTTAGCTGGGAATGGTGGCATATACCTTTCACTCCAGAATGTAGAGGCAGGCAGATTGTCAGTAGCAGAACAACCTTATCTACATACCAAGGCCAGCTAGAACTCTACAGTGAGATCTTGTCTCACTACCCCCATTTTTTTCTAGCTTAATTACTGTTTTTGTTAGACATGGTCTCATACAGTAGAGGCTGGTCTTGGGCTCACTAAGTTACTAAAAATACCCTTGAACTTGGGACCCTATTGCACCACCACACCGGAATTATATGGTGTTAATAGAAATAAAGAATTTGAGCATGGTCAGCTAGACCAATTGAACTATGCCTACAACACCACCATTACTAAGGTAATGCTAACAAGTAAAAACTGTGCTAAGTATCATTTGATATTTACTATTTATATACATTATGAATTACCACAATCAGGCTAATTAGCATGACATTTACTTCACATCTTCTAGTTTTCTTATTTATTTTGCAATGATATATAACTGATGACACTGTTTTGTTTTCTGTATAGGCAGTATCTTTCTTCTTCCTCTTTAGAAGAGCATAATAGATTTTTTTATACTTCCCTGCCCGATAGTTTTATTTCATAATTCCTTTCATTTAAGACTATAGGGTCAATCTGGACAATATATAAATTTTACTATATGTAGTAGTGTTGTCAGTCTGCAGGATCTAGAATCTTCTGAGGGATAGACCTCTTTGATGCCTGTGAAGGATTGTCTTGGTAGTGTCAATTGATATGAGAAGACTCATCTTCATAGGAGATCGTGGACTGTACAAAATGGAGAGTAAGCCAAGCACTAGGAAGCATTCATTGTTCCGTTTCCTGGGACTTCACTGTGAAAAGTTTTAAACTCCTGCTGCTTTGACTTCCTATCATGATTGACTACTATAAGCCACTCACATACAAACACAAAGAATACACGTGCATAATAAGTAAAAACCCTGAAATAAGTCATCTGAGTAATTTTCCCTTGAGACTTGTCCTAACTTTAGCCCACTGAAAAACACAGGTTCAGACTCATGATGGGAAAGCTAAAAAGAATCAAAAGTTAAAAAGCAAAACAAAAAGAAAAACAGGATTATTTCTTTTTCTAATAAATTTCAGGTTGTGTCTAAATGTATAGGTCTGAATAATGCTATATGCATTTTCTTTTTAGACTAAGCTTTGACTTTTAAATTTTTAGGAGACAATCACAGTATAAAGGATTCTTTGGTTGAGAGTATAATTCTGTGGAAGGTCAAGAGCTTAGCATTTAAGACACCTGGTTTTAATCCTAAGAATGGGGAAAAATAACAGATAGTAGGGGAAACATATCTATTAGATAGATAGATAGATAGATAGATAGATAGATAGATAGATAGATCGACTGATCAGTGGTTTTTTTCTATTGTTTGTGATTTTCTAAGTCTTAAGACATCCTGTATCCAAGGGTTATAAATTACTGTTCCATATTTTCTTCTAAAAATCTTAAAGCTATGCTTTTCGAACTCTTACCTTTATCTATAAGAAATTGATTTTCATGTTGGAACTGAAGTACAGATGCATTGCACACTCACACACAGACATACAAAGAGCACACATGCATATACACATATAGAGAGCACACACATGTACATGCACACACATACATACACACACACAAGCTTCAGCACCATTTTCAGAAGCATTTTGCTGTCTTTTATTATCTGAATTACTTAGTATATCAAATAAAAGTCTTTCAGATGTACTGAAGACCTCTGCTTTTGTCTTTTCTTCAACTCTATTGGGTTGTTTATTCCTAATTCCATGGGAAAGCCAGCCTGCACACAGTATATTTCCTTCTCTCAACTTTTAACATTTTATGATATACCTTGTTAATGCTGTAATCATAAACAAGTTCACACTCACTAATCACAAACTGTGATTCCTTTCTAAACATATGTAAGTGCTCTGGGGGATACAGTTTGTTTTTAATATATCTTTACATAATATATTATCTATAATATTTGGGTTCTGGAGGAGTACTTCATTACCTTAACTTATCTAATATGGGCTATGAAATAAATTTAAGCGCTTCATTAGTCCACATTTTTACCAAAATGATAGAAATGTGATATTACGTATCACTCTAATTTTCTTATACACTATGTCAGTGAACGGAGGGCATCATGATAACACATGACTGGAGACAGAAAATAGCAGTTACTGTGAGGAGGCCTGGCATGATGCTACAAGGATCTGCAGAAACCAATAGGAAATGACTGAGTAAATACATGCAATGAAATGTTTAAAAAGTAATGTTGGCAAGTAAAGAACCCACTGTTCCTTTTATAACCTTTAGTTATTTAAATGCATATCATACAAGTAACAGACTGTCCCCACCACAAGAAATGCAGAGCTCAATTGTTTCCCAGCAGATTTCCTCACACAAATTCATTTTAACAATAAGCTACAGTTAGCTAGAATCAGATTTTTGTCTGCTATACTGTCACCCTGTACTGGAAAAAACGGGCTAAGCTGAGTCAGACGACTTCATTTATCTGCAAGTAGATGATAGTATTTGCTTCATATGTCAGAGTTAGATGAGTTCATACATGAAGTGCTTGGGATAAAGTTTAGATATGAAGCAATTGTTACTATTGCTAAATTATTACTAACTTTGATCATGTGCAGTATATTTTGAATATGCAATCACTTTCCTGTTTTTCACAAGTAACAACAAACTGATAAAACAAGAGTTCATACATTTTTTTTTAATTCTGTCTGACAAAATACTAAAGATACATCCAGTTTTTCAAATTTGACTTTTTAAAGCTTTCCCTTAATGCCAGATTTAATGGTTCTGGTGAACACAAACACATCTATGGGAGATACAAATACTTGACTTCAATCAATAGTTCTCTCCTGGAGGTACAACTGCTGAGCATATTTTTAGAAGGCACAAAATAAAATAAAACCTTCAATGTTTAAAATATGTTTATATGAAAAATTATACATAACCTAAAAAGCTTGCATCTATAAAACAATTAAAAAATAAAAGATATCAAATCTTGAATGACCAGGTGGTCTTTTCAAGAAAATTAATGTTTTGGAGAAAATGACCTCTCAACAGAACTTTGGTACAAGTCTTTTCTTATTACAGACACTCAGCAGTCTTGTCTTCAGAGAACTAGGTGGTGCTGGCATACATACATACTCACAGAGCTAACATAACACACTATATAGTCTGGTCTAACTATGAACTTACTATGCAGCCTGGCAGGTGTTAAGCTCCCAATCCTTTTGCCTCTGCCTCCTAAATGCTGAGGCTCTAGCCTGTGCTAACACCTTGAATTTCAAAATAGTTTCCTGAACAGGTGTTTTAAAATGCACTTGTTTTGTTTCTCTTTGTTTTTAAACCTCCAGTGATAACCTTCATTACTGGTCATATCAGATGTGTCTCTATTGTATATTTAGCTCATGAACTGAAACCACATGAAATCTGACGGATGGAAATGGTTACATCTATATCTGTATCTAGGTGATAAAAGCTGAAGCTGAATATGGCAAATTGCAGAGAAAGAGGTGTATCTGTGTTTGTAAATGGAAATTAAAGCATGTTTGTTTATCTAATAGGTTATTCATATTTAGTGCATGGAAAAGGATGCACATCCATGCTACAATGAAAACATGATTGTCTATTGATGACTGCCAACAAATCCTTTTCTGAGACCTGTACCATACTCTTCCCTAAGGAATCTTTCTTCTTACTATTGCAACCAAGTGGCTGTTGTCAGTCACAGTATTTCATCTCCTCAGTTAGGTAAACACAGCCCTACCCTATAATCTACTGAATCAAAAGTGAGAAAGAATTAGAAAGCTCTTTACTGTCAATATTCATTTACATGCAGCTGGCTAAGAGTCATGCACCCAGCTACATATCAAGATAATTTGAAAAAAAAAAAAACACAGTTAACACACAATGTTACACAGAGGCATAGATGAAAAGTGTGTACTGGTACCACTCTTTCTTCCTCAGGAGTATCTTTCTCCTAAGCTTCTTTTAGTTGATGTCACTTGGGACCAAATACAATATTGTTGAAAAAGTTAAGCCTAGACAGGTTAGTGTATGAAGTCCACAGAAAACGTGGAGATACTCATATCATTGGAACATTAAGAAATCCATTCAGCAATTTAAGACATTATCAAAGCCACTGCACCGAAGGGCTTTTTCCTGACTGCAATTTAACTGAATATGGAAATAGCATGAAAAAAGTGTCCAGTCACAAACACAAAACTGCCCACTTCCTCACTCCATGTTTGTGTCTGTAGGAAGGCAGAGACACTCAAGAGGTAAAGTCTACTAATTTTGAGCATGCATAAATCTTATGTTAGCCTGTTCAGCTATAGAAACTGTTTATAGTCTCTCCAAAGACTATTTTAACTATGTGAACACATTTCCTTTTTTTCCAGTTCCAAACAGCATGCATCTACCTCAAGATCACACTTTATGATGGACAGAGAAACTGGAAACCATCAAATATGACTCCTTCAGCTTCCCAATACTAAACACACCATGTTTCCCTGTGTTTCACCTTCTCATCATACCAAAGGCCACCATTCCACATATCCCTTGGTATGAATTACTTTGTCTCTGACACTGTATATCACTAATTACTCTACATGCTACAAATTAAACCTTTCCCCAACTAACAGAAATGTAAATCCATGAGGACAGGGTCTGTGCCCATCCCAGTCAATGATACATAGTGTTGAATCCATAGATACACAAATGAATGAGAGCCAGGGAAATGAATAATCTGTGAGTTCTGAAATAACTTTGAAAAGATCAGGCACAAAAGCGAGGCTTTGATTAAAGACTGGATGCCTAACTTGAAGAATATTTCTTTACATAATTTTATTTATCCTTGACTTTATTTCAGATGAATACACTTTAAATTTGAGCCTAAAGATGCAGCAAACGACTCCATGACAATCAGTAATACTTACTCTTCTTTCCATCCATATCTGCATGGATTTTGCGAGCCAAAAATCCACTTTTGTATACAGCAGCATTTGGGTCATGAGGAATGTCCAAAAATGGGTTAGTTGTACTCCCAATACGACTGATAGTCTTTGGGTGTGTTCCATTAGCCTTTTCATCAGTACCTTCTGAGGGAGACTTTTTTTTCTCTTCATCATCTCTGTAAAGGAGAAAACACAAAGACTGAAATAAGGACTTAACTTTCAATAAGCAAACTTATTTAGAGTCAAATCCTTGTTTGCTTATAGTTGATTCATAAGAACCACTTTGAAATCAGAAACACTATGAAAAGACCAAAGGAAATAGTAAAAGGAATAAAAAGGAAGAAACACAGATCAAAGGCACAGAAAATATTTTCAACAACAGCAGCAATAAAATCACATAAGAAAATTTCCCTAACCTAAAGAAGAAAAAGACAATGCCTATCAAGTACAAGAAGCATAAAAACACCAAATAGAGCGGATCAGAAAAAAAAGTTCCCCCAGCACATGATAATCCAAATGGTAAATATACAGAACAAAGAAAGAATATTAAAACCTGTAAGGGAAACGTCCAAGTAACTTATGGAAGGAGAGACCTATTAGAATAACACCTTATAACTCAATGGAAATGCCCAAAGCCAGAAGAGTCTGGACAGAAGTTCTACAAACTCTCAAGGGACCTTAGATACCATCCCAGAATACTATATTCAAGAAAACTTTCAATCACAATAAATGGAGAAAACAATACATTCCATAATAAAACCAAATTTAAGGACTATCTATCTACATATCCAGCACTCCAGAAAGTGCTAGAAGGAAAACTACAAACTTAAATAGTTATTAAACACAAGAAAACATAAGGAATAAATAATCCCAGACCAAAAAATTAAAAGAGGGGAAGTACACACACACACACACACACACACACACACACACACACACACACACAAAACTTAAATAGAAGGAAAATCATATCAGAGTGAAAAGGATTTTTAAAAAAAGATATTCCAAGGGCCTAAGAAGCAAGCTGGTGCAGTCATTTTATTATCTGACAAAAAAGAGTTCAAGCCAAACCTAATCAAAAGATATAGGGAAAAATACTATATACTTACTAAAGGAAAACCCACCAAGAGGACATTGTAATTCTTACTATCTATGCCCCAAACACAAGGGCACCTAAGTTTGTAAAAGAAACACTACTATATCTTAAATCACATACTGACCCTCACACACTGATAGTGGGAGACTTCAATATCCATGTTTCACCAATAGAGAGGCCATCCACACAAAAACTAAACAGACAATTGCTGGAGCTAAGTGACATTATAAACCAAATGGACCTAACAGCTATTTACAGAACATTTTGCCCAAACACAAAAGAATTTTGTGGAACTTTTTATGGAAAAGGTTTTATGGAGCTATCTCCAAAACTGATTATATACTTGGACACAAAGCTTTGAAATAACAGCCGGCATCCTATCTGACCACCACAGACTAAAGCTAGATGTCACGACAGCAGAAGCAACAGAAAGATTACAGACACATGGTAACTGAACTGTCAAGACAGAAATTAAGAAGGAAATTGAAGACTTTCTAGAATTGAGTGAAAATGAGTAACAACATACCTAAAACTTATTGGAAACAATGAAGGTGATTCTAGAGTCGAGTTCTTTAGCATTGCTAAGTGCCTATATGAAGTAACTGGAGCGATCTCATACTAACAACAGCACACCTGAAAGCTCTAGAACCAAAGGAAGAAATTACATCCAAAATGAGTAAACACTAAGAAATAATCTAACTCAGGACTAAAATCAATAAAATAGAAACAGCAAAAACAATACAAAGACACAGTAAGACCCAAGAGTTGGCTCTTTGAAAAAAAACAACAAGTAGACAAACCCTTATCCAAGTTAACCAAAAGGCAGAGAGAGTATCCAAACTAAATACATTAGGAGCTGGGGTGGTGGTGGTGGTAATAAAACAGACACAGACAAAATCCAGAGAATCAATAATATACTTTAAAGAAACCTGTACTCCAAATTGGAAAATCTATAAAAAAATCAATAATTTTCTCAATATATACCACTTAACAAAATTAAATAAAGATAGGATAAGCAATTTAAACAGACCTATAACCACTAGTGAAATACTAGCAGTAATTAAATTCTCCCAATTAAAAACAATAATAACAACAACAACAAAAGAAACACCCAGGGCTAGACTTTCAAAGAAGAATTAATGCCAATGATCCTCAAATTATTCCACAAAATAGAAATAGAAGGAACACTGCTCAATTCATTTTATGAAGCCACAGTTATTTTGGTAGCCAAACCACATAAAGTCCCAACAAAGGGAATTACAGACCAATTTCCCCTGAGAACATGGATGCAAAAATTATCAATAAAATACTTGCAAACCGAATCCAACAACAATGGTGCATTACTCAGCTATTTTTAAAAAAAGTGGCATCATGAAATTTGCAGGTAGAACTAGAAAAAAATTCCAAGAACACCTTAAAAAGATCATCTGCCATGATTAAGTACACCTCATCCCAGAGATGCAGAGATGATTCAACATACATAAATCAATAAATGTACTCAATCATATGATCATATAAACAAACCGAAAGACACAAACCACAGGATCATGAGATGCAGAAAAGGCCTTTGGCAAAAACCCAACTCCCCTTCATAATAAAAGTCCTGATTAGAGAATAGGGGTGCAAGGGATATACCTCAACAGACTAAATGAAGTTTGCAGCCAGCACACAGACAACAATAACTTAAATAGAGAGAAACTCCAAGCAATTCTACTGACCAAGACCTTGGGACTACATAGCCCAGGGACCTAGGGTAAAATGAAATACTACTGTTCTTAAGAACAAAAATTTGCAATGACATTACTCCTAATGACATTCTTTTATACTCAGAGATCAGTGTCTTACTCAGTCATCATCATAGAAGCAGATGGAAAAAAAAAAAGAGACCTACAGCTAGACATTATGCAGAGAGTGAGAGTCCATAAAACACTTAGTCCTAATAGAGAAGTCCATCAAATCCCTCCCCTTGGGATCTGGCAACTCTGCAGAAGAGGAGGCAGAAAGAGTATAAGAGCCAGAGGGGATAGAGGACACCAATAAAACAAGGCACCCTAAAATCTAAAATCAATAGGATAGATGGTCATATGAGCTCACAGAGACTGAGGCAGCATGCACAAGGCCTCAATGGCCCTGTACCAGGTTGGGTCCTAGAGCTGAAAGGAGAAGTATACACATGCCCCATCACTAACCCAGAAACAATCTCCAACTGATAACCACTTAGTTTATTTAGTTTCTTCCAAGGGAGTCTCAGTGCAAAAACTAATTACTCTTCAGGGTAGGCTACATGCCCACCAGTAGATGGCTGAGAGAAAGCAAATTCAGGGGCATCATTAGAGGTTCCTTGTCTCATAGTGATGCTTTGGGGTCTTTTCTTTTATTATTATTTTATCTTATTTATATATTTTTTCTTCTCTCTCTTTACCCTATAAGGTCTTTTGTGCATATATTCTGGCTTCTAGTTTACTGTTTTTATGGGATTCCTGAGTATGCAAATGAGTGGGTCTCTCTTTCTTGTGGGATCTGTTCCTTGTTTGTTTGGTCCAACTGCAGTGTGTTAGTTTTTGTTTTGTCTTATTTTATTTTATTACTAACCATTAGAATAAAAGGAAGAAAGGGTATGGGCCTGGATGGGAGGGGAACTAGGGAGGAACTAGAGGAGTCAAGGGAGGGGAAACCACATTCAGGATATATTATATGAGAAAAAATATATATTTTTAGTAAAAGAATAAAACTAAAAATTAACAAAATGCATTATTCTGATTTTAAATTAAATAAAAGCCCTATAATAATAGCCAGCAGTTAGTGACAGTCTCCGCTGTGCCAAGTATTAGTGATCACAACAATTATGCAAGATCAATATTAGTGTTTTAAATTACAGATAAGGGAATAGACTCAGTGAATCCAAATAAATGCACAAAGCAACAAACTGAGCAATTAAGAGGTAACAAAGGTATGACTAGAGCATCTTTACAGCCCTGCTTTCTCCTGCCATGATGGCTTCTTTGTTAACTTCTTTCAAACAATGTGGGAACTGGTAAGGATTGTAAACTGCACTTTTATACTGGTCTTGGCAGAACAACAGGTGCATAGTGGACAATAGATATCTACAGATTGAGCCCTGATAACAGTAAGCTTTGTCTACCAAACAAACAGGTTCACCATTAGCATCCCAACCCCAGATAAAAGTTGCAAGTGTGTGGGGGAGGGCAGTGTCTACACAGTGCTTTGGTAATTACTTTCCCAAACACCACAAAGGCATGGGTCAGCCTACCAGCTACTGTGAAACTCTTATTGGCCTTGTCTTGTTTTTTACATCTCTGTACCCTCAAGAATGGAAACTTTAAACCTGAGATCACGACACACTCCAACTAAGAAGAGTCCAAAAGATTAGATGGCCAATATTCAGTAAATAAAGAAGTAAAAAGACAGAAGAAAGCTATTCGAATGGTCTGTTATGCTGGAAAACTAAATCACACAGCAAGTCTGTCTTACGCTGTTTTCCTTTCTATACCTAACCTCTTTATTAAATTCCAAGCATTGACTCTTTTACTAAACTATATTTAGCACTCCGAAATATTTTTAAATAAATCAAAAAATTTCTTTCAAAAGTAGTTTATGGGGAAGATGGAGAAGAGCAGCCACTGTTCTCTAATGGTATCTTGTAAGTAACTAAGAGATAAATGAAGTTAAAATTGGAACTCTTAAGCATTCATATTTTACATTTATTTTGAAATAATTTTAGACTTGCAAAGACAGTACATTGAGTTTCCATATGTCCAGCTTCTCCTGCTAGCATCTTATATAACCACAGTGACATTTTCTAACTAAAAAATTAACATTAGTAAAATACTATGGATTAAAGAGACATTTTCTTTCAGGTTTCAACAGCTTTTTTTCACTAATCTACATTTTTGTTCTAGAATCATATCCCACATCCCATAATAGCTTTAGTCATTGTTATCGCTGCCATGTCTCCTTATCCTCTTGTGGTATATAACAATTCCATAGCCTTTCCTGATCCTTCATGACCTTCATACTGTGAAGAATCCTGGTCAGTTATCCAGAAAATTATTTTCCATT